TGAATGAGTGGAATTTCCCTTTTTCACAATCTTGTTGGCAGAAGACAGAAATTGTTTTGCAGCTCTACTTTTATACGATTTTAATGAGTTATGGTAATGCTGAAATCTGCTGTGCATCTGCCATAAGGGCACAAATTTCCTCCACACATCTACAAATACATAACAGAGCAAGCAATTATATTTATTGAATTAAAAATAAGAAAGTAACAAAGAATGACTAAATTATACTGATGTATGATTAATATGGAGGCTTTTTCATACTCATACTAAAATACATTTGGACTCTTCATCTGTTGAATATTCAAAATTAACATTAGATAGGAAGAAATCTTAAAGCACCCCCTTGAAAAGGGTGGTATCATTCCATTACAGAAAGCTTTAAATTAGCAATCTCATTTACCACTGGCTGTGTAAAGTCAGGACAAGGCCACTAAAATGACAGAGGAAAAGGATCAGTTGCAAGTTTCTAAGCACAGGATAGGGCTCATTCAAAGAGGGAAGAAATCACTCTTTTAGGAGAGTGTCTGTCACCTTTCTGTGGGCCACTGAATTTCCATGGATTTAGAAAAGAAAGCAAGACTCTTATGTGATAACTACAGTTTCAGGGTAATTAATTTTAAAGACAATAACCTGTCTTTGAGTTACTCTAGCAGGTATTTACAGGGAAAACCAAAATCACTACATTGTTCCCAGGCAAGAAGCATGAGTGTGAAAAAACACATTTTTTTTCTTCCCTGTAGCTTTGCTCTCGTCAGAATAAAGAGTCATAAGACACATCATTTAAAAGCATACAAATAAAAGATGCTTAGAAAAACAGGTCTGGCTGGGATGTGCCTGGTGTAGAAGACACTGGTGACTGTGTCCATGATACACTGTCTGCAGCCAGCAAAGGTTCTGGCTCCAAAATCAAGGTGTGCACTCTCTGAAAGGTTTCAGTGCATTTAAATGACTGACAGCTGACATCTACTTGACCAGTATGAGAAAGGCTTCCCCATCAAATTCAGCTACCAGAGTGTAACAAAGGATCCCTGAAAAATATTTTGTCTGTGTCAGAGATAGAAGGAGCTGGGAGGAATGGGTGAAGTCCACTAGCAGAGAAGTTCATCCAAGGAAGGTTTAGCTTTCATTTAATCCTCACTTACAAAGCACTTAACAGGAAACAAGCAACCCTTCCTATCACCTGCAAGGATCCCGAATTTCCCCCAAGGCCATGGCAGAGTATGGACACTGCCCTGCCAAGGGAATCCCCTCTGCCCCTGCCCATCCAGCACAAGATTCCAGTTCTCCCTGCTGAGCTGGGCTCTGTCCCCACAACACCCCCACTGCAGCTGGGGCACTGTCACAGTGCTAACACACTTCCTTCCCAAAGTACTAATGACTTTGTTCATTAGGTTGATTAGACCTTTTGACTTCTTAAGAGACAATTGGGGCTCAACTGCTGCGAGATGACAGGAGGAACTGTAATGCTCAAGGTGAGGGTGAGCTGTGCAGCCCCCAGTGCATTAGTGCTGCCACCCTGCTGACCTCCCTGGGTGGGCACACTGCCCCAGCCCCAGCCCCAGCCCCAGCCCTGCTGACCTCCCCGGGTGGGCACACTGCTCCTGCTCCAGCCCTGCTGACCTCCCAGGGTGGGCACGCTGCTCCAGCCCCAGCCCACTGCACTACAGAACACAGCCTGCACCACAGGGCCACCTTCCTGACAGATTTAGTTGGGTAACTGTACATTATAAAGCTAATCAGCTCTGCTTTTACTGGCAAATGACATCACACACCAGGGGACACGTGTGGAACTGCAGATACGTTGTGGAATTAATGGTCTTGCTCACATGTAAAACAATTGAAATAACTTGTTCTGATAAACCCATCAACTCCTAAACCTGTTGGCTCTAACAATTAGAATTTAGGCCTTGGTTCATCAACACCTTAAATATCCATTAATCCCCTTTCCAACTGTAAATGCCAAATAGAGGCTAAAACATGGCACTGCAAAGCCTCCAAATGTGTGCACAATACCACTTGATGGGGAATCTGATTGGATCTGTAATGTAATATTACAGACCATTCAAGTAGATTTCAAGATTAGATCACAAAATTATTCTTAATACACAAATTTACACATCTAATCTGCCATCGTAACACAAGAGAAGTATCTTTAAATATGAGACTAAGATTTAAGACTCCCAGATGCATTGAAAAATAGGTGTCTTTTTTATGCCTTTGCAAATCTCCCTTTATATGAATATTTTATATTCATCTGGCATAATGAAGTTCATTAGGGCACTGCTGCTATCTCATGACCCCTTAAAAAGCTGAGAAGTTCCAGCCCACATCTGATCTGTTGCCAGACCTATTTTTAAATTGGAATTGTGTTACATTCTAAAATAATGTTCAAGACTACTTAAGGCAGCAAGTGGAAAACAAAAGGAGTCTAGGACTTATTTCAGACTCTTCTGGAGTTTCAGGAAACCTGCTGTTATATTTTAGGAAGCCACAATGCAAATTGAAAGAAAAAGCCTGATTTTGATTAAGTCCACTGTGAAAAACTTCACCATGATCCCTCATCTTTCAAGGAAATCACTTTTCCTCAGCTCACTGGTTATGGCAGGAACTTTCAGAGTGAATATAAAGGACTAAAAATATGTGGGAAAGAAGACAGCTCTGATGAGAGAAGGACATGGAGGGGGACAGAGGCAAACACAAAGGATGCTTCTGGAAAGAGGCAGGAGCCAAGGTAACTCATGGGAATGTGACTACTCCCACTGCTGCAGGAGTGTGCAGCTGGGAGGGCAGCAGGGGAGTGCTGCAGAGAACAGCCAGGTAATAAAGACAGGGGGCAAAGATGGGGCAAATTAGGTCAACAGTGAGAGGCCCTCACACGAGCAAAGGTTTCACAAAACCTGATTATATGGAAGAAAAAACCAATGAAAAATCACCAACCCCAACAACCCCGAGCTGAAGACTTTGTTTAGACAACCCTCAAAGTTGTGCCGTGGAAGAGAGAGATGATCTCTGTGCATTATCAGGGGCAGCCTGTGGTGCAGGTAATGAATTTTGAGCTGCTGTGTGCATGCCTTCATACACGTAGGTGCTCCTTCAAAGCCTCTCTAATAAACACACAAACCATTAGAGCTGCTCTGCAAATCAGCCACGGAATTAAAAGATGTGGGTGGAATTTAAAGGTGCAGAACAAGATGCCAATGTGACAGGGTACAAGCTGTAAGTGCAGTGTCACTGCACCACAGCAACCCCAAAGAACCAGCAAACCCACGGCCATGGAAGGGGTTCTTGGAGCACTGGGTGTGCGAATAACCACATCCTGTGCTCAAAGTGGTGAGTGACAAAGGAAAGCCTGCAGGGATGTTCTAGGACTCATCACCTTTAATTCCATCCAGACTTACAATGAAACCAAGCCAGGAGGATGATCCTACTGCTCTGGATCCATGTATCAGTGCCAGGTACAACCAAAGGCACACCACTGCTCCACAGGCCCTTCCAGAGCTGGGACTGCAGTGTCATGGGAGGATTGGCCCATCACAGCTGAAGGAGGATCACAGCCAGCAGGATTCCACAAAGGAGACCTGACATTGGTGACAGCTGCCTGATGGGACATTGGCTCGTCCTGCTTGCAACTGTGACAACAAATAACCAGTCTGGATGTTCAGCACCGGAGAGCTCTCTGCATCCACCTCAGTCATAACGAATCCAGAAACCCTCTGCATTAAGCAAATGATACCAGAGCTTTATTAGCTTCTCAAGATGCTGCTCAGGAACAAAGAAATCATGTGCTCACAGGTTTGACCACACGTCTTCTAAAGAAAACTACATTCAGGCTCTGCTCAAAAAGACACCACCAGTTCTGATAAATCACTACTGCCAAGTGTAATCTCAAAAAGCATTTCAAACCCGTGTATTTACCTGTGCACACTGCACTGCCCAAACACTCACTGTCTCACCTAAGTGCCCATTTCCATTCCAGCCCCATTTCAGACAGTTTTTCCTGTTCCTCCCCACAATACACAGCCTCTGGCAGAGACACAGCAAGAGTGAATATCCCTATATACAGCACCAAAAAAATGGGCCATTTCTCTGAATTCTCCACCCTTGCAGTTGCTGGTGAGTTGGAATTTCTGAACAGCTGTCATTCCCCTGCACGTGACCTGATAGCAGGTGATCCTGTAAGAAGTTGTAAGAATATCACTGAAGGAGAACTAAAAGGGAGAAAGGTGGCTGTGAGTCAGGTGAATCCCTGATGCCAATCACATCAAACACATCGACATCCCTTCCAAATGTCCCATCAACAAACACATTCCTGACCAAACCCCAAAGAAACACAAAGTGTGCCCAGCAAGGACACAGATCTGTTCCTACAGAGCAGGTTGCCAATGAGGATGAAGCAATTTAAACACACAACTCAACTCTAAATGTGAAATTATGACACGCAGCTATTCAGACTTCATCAAAACCTTTTTAACACTGTAATTAGAATTCTGTGGCCTCTGCTTCTTTCAGAACTCTAGTAATATAGGTATTATTCTAATGCAATGCACCATTAAGTTGTAATCAATTCCACAACATCCAAAAATCCTTCAGACCAAAAGAATTTAGGTGTATTAAAATTGCTATGAAACTTCTGTAGAAAAAATGCAGAACAAGATTTATTTGCATTAAAACATTGTAAGAAAACCAGCTCAGATACTGATGGATTCAGTGAAAGTTCAACACCACCTGTTTACACATTATTTCAGATGGGAATATCCAACACCATTACAGAATCTGACCAAATTTGGACAAAACTGACTTCAAATGAAAGATGAAACTGCAAAAAACGTGTAACTGGAAAGAACTTACACCCCACAGCAGTGGTTTTGCTTCTCCTTTCAAAGCCTGTTAGTCTATCAGGACACCTGACATTTTCACGTTACACCAGGAAA